TATGAAAAAAATTAGATGTTTTCTCATGGACCCCATAAAAAGCAGCTTTCTCAATTGTAGGGGCCTTTTTGGCCTAGAGGAGGTGTTTTTTTTCTAAATGTTATTTACCTCTTTTTTTAAATTTAAAATTTTAGGAACACAATCTAAAAATTAGCTCAGTTAGAGTGGAGAGCTTAGTTGTGATATTGTCTAACCTGGGTAAAATAAGCAAATGCAGCACTGAGCAACACATTATGCTGGACCAACATCATAAAAATTTCAGAATAATTGGGCCAATGTCCTCTTACATTGGTTTAACGTGTTGTGCTACCTGGTGCAACCATGATGACAATATTTGATAATCAAAATATCTTATTCAAGGAACTGGAGTGCCATCATGAGGAATATTCTAATTATCTAACTTTTTAGTTTTTATGATGGATGCAGACCTATGTTTTTCATGTCATTAAGTAGAATGAAATAAAAAGTTTTTATTGCATAAAAATATGCATCATAATAATATTAACAAATAACAATCATTGTTATTACAGTATTACTATTATTACACTTTCATGAATTAAAGAAATTTTTTAGTTCTGCTTTTTGTCTTCTTTAGTTTTAGTTATATGTTGTAACAATGTGACTAATTATATAACTATATTTTATAATACTCTTAGATTTCTTATTCAAATTAAAAGGGATTTACCATATTGGCATTTCATATGGGCTCGCAGTGTTTTGTTCCAACACTTTCATAAAACCAAATAAGAGTAATAGACAAATTTTCTATTTTATCTGAAGCAGTTTGTTTTTTAAACAATATTGAAATGACTAAAAAAGGAAAGTTTTATAAGAAATATTATTTGTAATGAGAAGCACGATTGGGCTTACCAGATATTATTGTTCGAGTCTTTGAGCATATGGCTGTATCTCAAGAATTACATAAGAATTTAAGAAATGATTTTTAACTACTGTTTACAATCTTTAAAAAAATTTATTTCAGGAGCAAATTAACTTGATACTGTATCTTTAACTTTCAAAATATTTCACAGTCTGGAAAACAGACATTGCATTGTAATGTTTGATGAGGTATACATTAAAGCTTGGTGGAAAAATTTATGATCATAGTTAAGTTGGCATCAGAACACTTTATCCTGCAATTGCCCTCAGAATTAGGAAAAATAAGATTATTCCCAAATTAATATCAATTTTAAACTATTTTAGGTTGGCATTAGGTTGACACAAAAAGCATTGCCAAAAGAAAACCCTAATTGCAAGGGCTGAAGTACTAAATGCTTGTTTGCAGAACCTAGGTTTTTTTTCAGTATGATGTATGTCTAATTTGGATTTTGATTTCTAATATAGTGCTGTAGCTAATGTAATTGAATCTATTGAACAGTGTACTGGAAAAGTTATATCCATAAATTGCTAATGTAATTGAATTTATTGAATAGTGCACTGGAAAAGTTATATCCATAATTTTGGATAACAACCAAGTAAATATAAATTTTTTTCCTCTTTTTGATACCAATCCTAACAAAACCTTAAGAACTAAAACTATATTTTTATCATACAATTTACTTACGGAAGAATAACAATTGGCAAAAAGATTAAAGAGATTAAATTTCAAATCAATGAAGATGAAGAGATAATTGCTGATTGGAAAAATCTTTTAAACTGACATTGTTAGAATAAAACTTACTTATCACATTATATATTATAGTCTTGATGGTTATCTTACTTTAATTTATAAAGACTACAATAGTCACAAGCTTGGTCTGAGCATTTACATTCGTAAGAATTCATCCATTTGTCGGGAAACTAGGTTTGAAGCTACAGACTATTTTTTTATGTGCTTTCGTTTAGCACCACTTCACTCTATCGCTTTTTTATCCCTTTCTCTTTTTTCTATATTGCTCTCCTTTATCTTTTCAATGTTTTTTCTGATCAAATTGACCAAGCCCTCTCTCTTCATCCATCAGCCAATATTGTTGTTGTTGGTGGCTTTAATGCTCATCACACTGAATGGCTTGGCTCTAGTCTGTCAGTGGCTCTGCTGGCGTTAAGGCCCTCAACTTTTGTCTTTCTCAATTTCTAACTCAAATAGTCAACTTTCCAACTCATTTTGCAGACAATCTGAATCATTTACCTTCTCCACTTGATTTATATCTTGTTTCTGATCCTAACCAGTGATCAGTTTCTCCACATTCACCCTTAGGTGCTTTTGATCACGGTTTCATCTCAAAAACTGTTATCTCATTCTTCTTCATCATCACAATCCCCCTATCATCATACCTCTTAAACAACTACCTTAAAGCTGACTAGGACTCTTTTCGTGATTTTCTTTGTGATGGTTCTTGGGTAGAAATCTTTCATGTTCCTGCTGACAAATGTGCTTCTTTATAACTTCATGGACTCAGGCTTGCATAGAATCTTTTATTTCTTCTCTACAATTCCAGGTCAAGCCTCACTCTTTTCCATGGTTTTCCTAACATTGTGCTGCTGCAATTTCCAATCAAAACCATTCTATCAGCAAAACAATTCAACAAAAAATAGTCTGTTTACTATTGCTAGAAACCAGTGTAAAAAGATTTTGCTAGAAACCAGTGTAAAAAGATTAAAGCCAAATCTGGCTATTCTCAGGTCATGAAATCTCATGTTTTATCACAAAAAATAGGCTCTCATGACTTCTGGAGAATCCTTAACAGTATCAATAATAAGGGAAAATCTGTTATTCCACCTCTCTTGTATGGTTCAGAATTTGTCACCTCACCTAAAGAGAAAGCTGAATTGTTTTCTAAGAACTTTTCGTCAATATCATCACTAGCTTTCAATATCATCACTAGATTTCACTAGCTGTGCTCTACCTGATATAGCCGTCAAACAGGTTGATCCATTGTTTGACATTCGTATCACTCCAGCTTCTATACCAAAAGTGATTTTTTTGCTTAAATTCTTCTACAGCTCGTGGTCTGTTATCCCTATTTTCAAAAGTTCTGGAGAGCGATCTGACTCGCCTAAATATCGTCCCATTAGTCTTCTTCCTATTATATTTTGAATCTTTATTGAACAAACACTTAATCTCTCATCTTGAATCTAATAACTTTTTGATCATCAATATGGATTTCAATCTTTTCGTTCTACAGCTGATTTGCTAACAGTAATAATCAATAGGTTTTATTGGCCCTATACTTTTTTTAATTTATATTAACAATCTTTCAGATATTCTCACATCTAAGGTGGCATTGTTCGCTGATGATATTACCATTTATTCTTGTCATGATAAAAAGCCAACACTCTCTGATTGCTTGAAATGAGGCATTTGAGCTTAAAAAAGATCTCACTTCTGCTACAGCATGAGGCTCACAGTGGCTAGTGAACTTTAATTCAGATAAACCCATTTTTTTTTAACCAATAGTTATTGCAATAATTTAGATCTTCCTATATTTATGAACAGTGATGTACATTTACCCTTCATCTTCTAGGATTAACTCTTACTTCTGATCTTTCTTGGAAACCATATATCAAATCTGTTGCAAAATTAGCATCTGCTAAGGCTGCATCTCTTTACTGAGCTTGACACTTTCTTATTCCCGATTCTATTCTCTATCTCTATAAATCTCAAATCTGGCCTTGTATGGAGTACTGTTGCCATATCTGGGGCGGATCTTCTAAAGATGCCCTTTTTTACTTTTAGACAAGGTGCAAAAATGCATTGTAAACATAGTTGGACCTGCTCTTGCAGCCAACCTTCAACCATTATCACATTGTCGTAATGTTGCTTCTCTTTCTCTTTTTTACAAATACTATAATGGGCACTGCTCTACAGAGCTAGCATTTCTTGTGCTATTTACTAAAATTCATTCTTGTGTTACTTGTCATTCAATTAAGTTTCATCCTTTTTCTGTGACTGTTCCTAAAAACTGCTCTAAAAATTCTTATTCTTCTAGTTTTTTTCCTCGAACATCAGTTCTTTGAAATTCGCTTTCTTCATCTTGCTTTCCTGATTCATATAACTTAAAATTTTTTGAGTTGTCTGTCAATCGTTATTTTGCTCTACAAATTTCATCTTTTCTCTTCCAGTAACTTCCATTTCTTATAGTGGTTGCTTGCAACCTTATTGGAAGCGAAGATGTAAAAAAAAAAAAATCTTGTATAAATGAGTTTGTCATATCTCCAAAGCTTGTAGAAAGACAAAATATGAAACTAGTAATGCATATATTTTGTGAAGAAATCTGACAGCTTTGAAAACAAATATAAATCAGTTAAATCAGTTATAAATCAAGTTAAAGACCATCAGATCATCAGAACTTCATTTTTGTGATGGATGTATTGGAAAACTAACTAAAAAAAAGAGTGAGATATGGGTTACTTGAAAGAACTCAATAGGGGAGGTTTAAAACTTTTTGGTGATACATTGCTTCAGTGAGTGTTTCTGTTACATTTTATTTATAAAACTAGATTTTAATGCTTTGTCAAAAATCACTACCTGAATATTTCAAGTTAATTAATCAAATTCATTTTATTTCCCAAATTGAATATTTGTAGTACAATCTTATCTAATATACTTATTAAGGAAAACTGGCTGTTCCATGTTCTAAGAAAGAACCTGCACAAAAAGAATTAAAGCTGAAATTAGAACAAAGAAATATTTATTTTGAATTCTTTTTGCTAAAAAAAAATATTTTTAGTCTGTTTAAAATAAAAAACATCTTTAGCCACTCAAAGATTATTGGTGAATATATAAAAGATAAATTATTATTTTGCATTACTCATATTAGACTTTCACAAATATTTATTTATATATTTGTGAAAGTCAATTCAAATATTTGAAAATATTTAATTAAAACTCAACTTTCACTTTTACTTTTATTTATTTTCTGAAAGAAAAAATATTTTCTTATGTATTCAATGATAAACCATTTTTATTTTTTTATTAAATCATATTTGTTCTTTTAATTCAGTTTTCACAACAAATTTGTGTGCTTACTTAAGAATTTGTAAAAAAAGATTTTAGTCACCTTTATTTCCTTCTTTTTTTCATTAAGAAATTTGTTTCCGTAAAATTTTAAAACAATTGATTTTTGAAATTTTCCAAATGCTATGTGACATTTTCCAAGCAACCTATGAAATTAAACTTCAAAATAACTAAGAAATTTAATTAAAAACAAGAAAATTTAAATTTGTGTGTGTTAAGGTGTGTCAAACTATTTTTTATTTCCAGATTGAAAACCCTTTATCCAAAAAACTTGTATTTATATATAATTCAACTAAAAAAAGCCAAGATTAAAAAGTCTGTAATGTTTAAAATACTAGGAATTGTAATTTAGGGTTTACTTATATTTACAAAAAAATCATTATAAGAATAATAAAGATTAATATAAGAATAATAACCTTGCGGTTGTATTTTTTGTCAGCATGGGAATTTAATAAACAGTTTCTATCATTTTTTAAATAAAATTTATTATAGCTTAATTTATAATTACTTTGTCATTTTTTATATATTAATTTTTAAAAATTTTCTTTAATTCCTTTGTAAACATATTTTACAAGTTCTTTTTTTTTTTTTTTTTTTTTTTTACTTTTACTATTTACTTTCATTTTTTTCAAAATTTACACTTCTTTCATCATTGTGATTAAGACCAAATTGATTCTTTGATCAACTGTCTACATAAGGTAAACACTCTTTTAAAAAAATATCTCCTTTTTTAACAGAATATACATTGCATGCTGCAAATACCTGTTTAACTCTTCTTTCTATTGACTGCCCATGACAAGGCTGACTCTAAGCATTCATAGACTAAAATATCTTCTTTTTTTTTTACTTTTTCTGTTGTCAGGTTGCATGTAAGAACAGGCTCATAGGAGATGTCCAGTAGATAAACTGTTTAGGCATTGTTGCAACAGGATTGATTTCTGAATTTTGCAATTTTATTACCAGTTTAAGGTTTTTTGTTATCAAAACTTCTGATTTTCACAATTAACTATCATCCTTTTGTCGTTCTTTTGTTCTACTACATTCTTCAAGCAGAGCATGGTCTGTTTGATAAACTCAGAAAAACCACACTAACATCAAACTGTGAGCATAATAATTTATACTACTTAATTTGGCTGATGTTTCAAAAGGCTAAGTGAGTAAAGAATGTCACAGCTTTTCAGTAAGCATGTGCTCAACTTTAATTTTAAGTCTTTAATTTTAGAGTTTTAAATTGAAAACTTTCCTTCTAATTTCCAACAATTTTTTAAAATTCTTCAAATGTTTTTTGTTGTAATTACAGATAAATAATTGATTTTTTTTTAGTTAATATTTTGTAAAATAATGCAATAACAATTAATTTTAAGCAGTGATGTCTTAACATAAGTACAATATGATATCTAAACAGATATATTTGTATTATTTGTTTCTTTTAAAAATAGACCGTCCTCAGATGATTCTAAACATTGCCAACTCTGTTACAAGCATTTTTGTTTTGTTTTGTTTTCGTTTTTTTTTTTGTTTTGTTTTTTTGGTGATACCAACTCTGTCATAAATAAATAGCAAATTTTATAATTAAAAAACCTTTTGCAAATTATTGATTTATTGAAATAAAACAACATTTTAAACAAGCTAATAAAAAAAATTAACATTTTAAAAAGGCTAATAACAAAAAATTAACTAAAAATTTGTTTTTTTAAACTTCCTAAAAACTTAACATAAATTTATAAACTTTTTTTAGTTTTAAGTTTAAATATTTTTACAAATATTTTCCATATACCAGATTTTTTTTTAAACAATTTTTTTAAAAAACCAAATAGTATGACACACCCTAGTGTGTGTATGCTTGTGTTTGTGTGTGCGTGTGTAATAAGTTAATACTAATTTAAAAAATCACAAAAAAATTAAACTCACTTGTATAGCCCCCCTTTCTCCTGATAAAGCTCAAAAGTAAGAGACTCATTTTCTATAGTTTTCGAAAAAGTCCATAATTGCTATAAAGTAAAAAAGATTTGTTTTAAAAAAAATAGATTGAATGCATGCATTTTTGAAATAAAAAACAAATTGATAAGAAACTCATGTTTCTTATTAATATGTTTATTCAAAAGCTCTATTATAAGGAAACTTTTAAGAAACTGGATTTTGCTAAAATATACTCAAATGTAGTACATACTTTTTCTTTAAATAAAAACATTAAGATAAAGAGAAAATAAAGAGGTTAATTATTTCACAACTTTATGCATTGTGATAGATTTATCACCGTATTTTACCAAACAATGATTTGGGGCAGATAACTTAATGTTACTAAAAGATCATAAATAATAACCATGACTTTATACAATTGTAAAATTAGAGAATGAGGGAGGTTGGTTTATAAGATCACACAATTTAAAAATAAAGATAAAGGATGTCAGAATTAGAACAATATTGTTGTAAGTATACTTTTTTAAAAAACCTTGTTTTTTAGATTAGATTATCTTAAAAAAGCCTGAGTCTGGCTTTGTCCCCAAACCTGACTTGCATATTTGTAGGTTAGATTATCTTAAAAAAGCATGAGACTGGCTTTGTCCCCAAACCTGACTAGCATATCTGAGACGTGATTTGAAAATTGCATGGTATATATTGAGTAGAGTTTCATAATTGACAAAGTATTGAATTTTGGCTAGCAACCCATTTAATCTATACAATTTCACTGTTGAGTCTTTAAGATAACAGGAAATGTAAAGATTTGAGACAATTTTTATTTCAAGATATTTTAAAGAAACTACGTAAAATATTTTTGATAAATATATAAGTCATAATTAATATTTTTATTGATTTTTTTTTTTATTGATTTGTTTGTTATAAGTAAGTTGGTAGTAAGCTGTTGAAAGTTTTAGAGAGATATTAGGATCATTTATAAAAATAAGGAAAAGCAATAGTCCTAATACAGAATCTTGGGGTACACCTGTGAAGCATTTTACTGGCAAAGATTTGGGTTTATTGGTGGAGACAAAAAGCAATCTATTAAAAAGATATGATGAAAACCATTGAAAAGCAATTCCTTGAATATCATAATGTCCAAATTTTCTTAGGACGATGGAGTGATCAACAGAATAGAAGTTTTTTCTAAATCAAGAAACACTCTACATGCAAAAAATTTATTCTCAAGAGCTTTTCAAACATTCTATGTTATTTTAATAAGTGCATGAGCTATGGAGTATTAGCTATGAAATCCATACTGATATTTGTAGAGACACTGATTTTTTCAAGAAAGTTATAAACTCTGTGGTGCATTCCTGTTTTCAAATATTTTGCTTATGTTAGATGAAGAGAATAGAATGAAGAGATATTGGTTGATAATTTTTGTGGTCCATTAGAGAACCCTTTTATAGATAGGAATGAGGGCTTAGTGTTAACAATTTCTTTTATTCCTTTTCATATATATTTTTTAATTGTTTAGATTTTAAGTATATTGAAGTATTTGAGTATATTGAAGATCTTATAAATATATTGAAACGCTATATAAAAACAACTAGTCAAATACTGGGAAATTTTTTTCAAAATTCCTATCGTGTTATCATGACATGTAATGGTGATTTACAGTAGGTTACTCTTAATTTCATCCTTTATGTTATGTCACAAAGTATTAAAAATCCTCATTTTACTAAACGGATATATTATATACCCATTTAATTAAATATATTATATATCAATTTGATTAAATAAGGATTTTTAATACTTTGTGACATGACATAAGGGATGATAAATAGGGTATTCTACTGTATATCACCATGACATACAAGGAGCAAGAATAAAAAACTATTAAAAACTATGATACACCATTAAAAAACTTTCTCGGCATTCATACTTTATTTAGTTTATCCTTAACATGTTTGCATTGAGTATCTTTGTTTACAAAGTAAAAACGCAATGGTACCGTTGCGTTAATTTTTTTCTTAAAGCCGCAGATAGAGATTTCTGATCAGTTGATTTTTTTTTCTTTGATTTAAAGAATATCTCTCTCAAACCAAACCCTTTATCATATGTATATATAATATATATATACATATGATATATTATTTATCATATGTATATGATAAATAATATATATTTATATATTATTTATCGACCCTTAGTCGGCAAATTGGACCCTTTTAGACTAGTTAGTCGGCAAATGTCGACCCTTTCGATATAAGTTAGTCGGTAATCTCGACAGTCGGAAAATGTCGTCATGGCAGTCAGCGAATTTTGGAAAACGAGGACCTTTTTTTTTTTTTTAGTCGGCAAAATGTAATGGCACCCCCACCCCCCCACGTGACACCTACTCGCGCCGGCTCTGTATGTATATATATATATATATATATATATATATATATATATATATATATATATATATATATATATATATATATATATATATATATATATATATATATATATATATATATATATATATATATATAATATATATATATATATATATATAATATATATATATGTAAATATATATATATGTGTATATAATATATGAAGCGCTCGTATATTAAACGCATATATATTAGGGTTGTTAACCGGAGGATTTCGTGCAATTCCGGAAAAACAACATTCTTTCGTAAGGAGATTGAGAACACGGAATTACATTTTTTCGTACCGAATGTTACAAAACATTTAAAATCGCCGATGTTCATTTCGCAAAAGCCACTTCCGAAATTTAGCATTTCGCAAGTTGACATACGAAACAAAACTATTTTGCAACATACGAAAGTAGCGGTTTTGGTAGTCGCACTTGCGAAACAAACATTTTTGCCAAACGACGTTTTGAAGTCTATAAAGAAAATTTGTTTGCCAGACTGATTGTAATTGTAAAAATTAACATCTTTAAATCCCAAAATGTTTATAATGAATTTTTATTTTCAGTAAAATAACTTATTAAATTTTTACGGTTTTATTTTTAGAAATATTGATAAAAAATAAAATTTCTTTCGAAACGAAAGTATTTCGGATCACAACATACGAAAGAATTCTTAACGGAAATAAACTTACGAAACGTGCCATAATAAATATATACAACGATGTTTTTTGAACTCATTACGTATATTAAAAATAAGAATGATGGGTAGGAATATACATGTTTTTTTTTTAAAGCATATGAAATTTTTGAAACAGGTTCGAATATGCTTAAGCAAATAGTAAAAAGAGGCTCAAAAATATGCTTTAGCTTAAGCATATTTCTGATAAAATATACCTATTTCAATAATTTCTAAAAGTGTGCACGTTACTAAAATTCTAGCAGATTTTAAAGGTATGTAGAAATACGTTTGAATACGCTTTTCAAAGTATAGATCATAGAAAATTTTGTTTTTTAATTTTAATAAGATATAAATTTGAGTATAAGATTGTATAGTTCAATCAGTTAGATACGTGATAATTCGCCGCAGAGATCCGGGTTCGCATCCCGCAGCCATTGTAACTTTTGTTCATCAAACTCTTTTTACTTAAGATAGCATTTTTTGACCTCCATGTTCTATATTACAGATCTTTCGTCGCCTTCACAATAGTGACAACCTCTCTTCTGTTAGTTATTCTTTTAAGATTGAGTTCATTGTGCTTAATTCAACACGTTTCCCTTGCTTTACTAAATTATGATGAAATGTACGTAAAACAATTTTTTCAAATAATATAATTCATTTTTAAATCTTTTGCTTTTTGTACTAGACATCTGTCCTAAATACTTTGTAATAATTTCTAGCTAACTCTGAGTCTAATATAACCATTTCTGAATATAATTTCCCTGAGGCTCCTACAGCCTATTGTGTTCCATTAAAAGTAACTAGTTTTTGAGTCCATATATTAATTATAAGCATCTAAAGGTTCACATTACTATTCATTTTCCTGATATATAGAATCCTATTTGCATACGTATCTCTTTCTGTAAATTCTGTTTTATATAGTTTCAAACTATATATTAAATAAATATTACTATTCTCTTAGTTGAATGAACGTATAGCTCATTCAGTTAAGACATTTGGCCGCGTAGACCCAGGTTCACATTCCGCTGTTTCACATATATTTCTTCTCTTTTTACTATTTCTGATATCATTTACCTTTAGAGAGATCTCTCGTTCTTTATAATAAAGTATTTAATTGTTTATCACACATCCTTTTTATACTTTTTAAAGAGTCCAACTTAACGGGATTTTACTGTATATATAAGTATATATTTATATATATATATATATATATATATATATATATATATATTTATATATATATATATATATATATATATATATATATATATATATATATATATATATATATATATATATATATACATATATATACAGTAAAATCCCGTTAATGTATATATATATATATATATATATATATATATATATATATATATATATATATATATATATATATATATATATATATATATATATATTAGGTATATTTGTATAAACATTTAAAGAATCATTTGACAACATTTTTTTATAATTTTATTATTTATTATTTAAACAGTTAATATCTTAAATATATCGTAACATAAAATCTTTTGCGTCTTTTTCGTAACTACACATTCCGGAATGCTTTTTCCGTAAGGAACTATTTCGTAAGTATTCTTACGAAATGATTTGTTTCGCAAGTTTTCTTTCGCAATGCTTTATTACGGAATTTTATTTATTTATATTTTCGTATAGCGCGTTACGGAATGTGCATTTTCGCATGTGCAACTTCCGTAATAACAATTCTATTACGGTAGATAAAGATGCGAAATTTTCGCAAGTTTTGTTTTTCGGCGAACAACCCTAATATATATATTATATATGCGTTTAGTTAATTATAGTAAAAAGAATATTTTGTCAACTTGTTCCTCTCAAGTTTGGGGTAGTTGTGGCCAAAATTTTAGGATTTTTTGTTCCCAGGCTCCAATAATTGCAATTTTTTGCAAAGCATCCTTATTTGACATAAGTATAAACATATAAATGTTTGATGTTTGTTCCATGTT